AACCCGACTAAGTTAATAGTATTATTCAGCTGTTTTTCAGTGTTTTATAACTCATTTTAGGAATAAGCAAAAGCTGAAGTTTCTTTTAAAACTGGTACGTAATACCTTATAATTAAGGAAGTAATTGTATTTCTGTTACTCACTTGCAAATGTACGTGGTGTGTTGGGTAAAACGCTGCAATGTAATGCACTGTGTGTTTATCCTCCTATTAAATGATGATGGTGAGACAGGCAGCCCATAAGAATCACTCTGCGCTTGTGAGTATGTGCAACTGTACTGCACACAGCGGCCCGTTGTTTCAACGTGATCATGTTTACTTGACTCGCTGGAGGAAATTTATTTCAGTCAACAAAGTTATACCACTGCAAGCTCTTTGCGTGTTGAATGATGAAATAGTTATATGGATGTAAGGGGTTTTTTGGATGAAAAATGTGAATTTGGTGATCTATTTTGCAGTTTTACACTGTGACCAGAATTTTGTTTGTAATATAATACACATGACTGGTTGAATTGTATAAACAGGTTTCTGTTCTTAAAGAATTAATTTATGTGACTTAAACAGTTCAACAACACCTGAATAAGATCACATCTCATGACCACTACGAAAAATTGAGCACAAAAATAATTTATCCATTATATCCTTACAGAATTTATATAACCAATTTAAAAACCATTTTCCATTCGGCAAGTTTAAATTTTCAAACTGTTGTTGTTGCACATGCTCTCTCACTATCCCCATTAAAATATAAACAAACAAGCAATATTTCCTATAATAACACATATACTCTGAACCTTTTTTACTTTTTTGAGATTGTTGAATACTAATAAACAAAAATAATTTGCTGATAACAGTTTCATGTCAATTCATTTTATTCGTGTGCAGTTCTTTTAGCGCCCACGAACAGTCGTTTAAATGTATGACTCAGTAAGCACCTAGACTGCATCCACGCCACTGTGTTATAGCCATTTACCCTCCTTAAGTGCCTTTGGCCTCTTTGATCCATGCATGTAAACAGCACAGAAGTGGCCTCTTTCATCGATGGATAAGGAGTGTTTCAGATTCATAATTATGCAAGTAATGTCTATCAGCTTTGAACAAAGGTTTTCCTCTTGTTCAGCACAGTTAATACAACATAGTTTAGTGTCTTTGTATAAGATCAGTGTTAACTGTTTTGAAAGAAGTGTTTGCAGACAAAGACTTCTTTTGTGCTATGAAGATGATGATGAAGATCGAGTGGATCCCAGTTTCCTTCTTAGAGACAAACTGTAAACCTACTGGATCTTCATATCCACTCAGACATATGTAACATCCCTTTTGTTTTGTCCCCATCTTTTTTATGAGATCTAGTGCCTTCTTCCAACTTGTTTATGCTGTTAATTTTTATGTACTTAACAAATCTTCAGTGTATTTGTAGCACATACTGCTTGGATTGCTCTCCATGCTCATACTTTTTCATTATCCAACAAGTGAGGGCAGAGAGTGAGGGTGGGAAAGGTCGAGCAAGTTGTCCATATTTGTGTATTTGCAGTTTATTTTTGTTATATTTTTTGTTTGTATGTGTTGGAAATGAGATACTGCATCTCAATGAGCTATTCTTTCAATAAATTCTCACTGTCAGTGATTAAGAGACAATCAGAAAAGCATCATAAAACAAATTCATTATCATCAAATTAGATGAAATTGTGTAATTTTTTGTATTGTTGTTGTTTCACTCTATTGGTAGCACTCAGTGTTTGGATTGTATATGAAACATAATTTCAAAAACATATTGAATACTTTGAGGAACCATCATCATAATGAGTATTATAAACCAGCAGAAATTGGCTATAGCTTAGTATAGAGAGTCTGCGACTATCGATATGACTCAGATACTTTTCCTGTGTAATATCTACTTGCTTGAGATCACAATAACACAACTGCATGACAGAGCTTTTCAGTTGAATTTTCCTTGGTATATAAATGACCATAATGCTGCTGGGCCCGGCCCTACACACCCTCACACCCACAGGGAAAGAGAGGCAGGGAGGTACTTAGGGAGTGGCAGCAGGTTTGGGAGAATCATGACAGAACATGTTTAGTTCTTGGTTTAAATAACTAAATCTGACAGGTCTATGAAGTACTACACCTTTCTGCCCTGACAGCTGGATTGTTTACCTGTTTCTGAGATTTTCAGCTTTTTGTGGTAATGGGGAGGCAGAGATTTTACTTTCACTTGGCAGCCTCCTAATGCAATCACTTTCTTTGTTAAATTTTCTCACACTCACCCAATAAAAATGGACAGTTTGCTCATCAGATGTTTTCGGTGACAGTGATGGTTTTCACATGAGGGTCCAAACAGAACAAATGTTTATATAGGGAAGATACAAGAAAGTACAACACCATGACAATCATGTCATCAACTCATGGAAAAAAACATTAGCCAATCCTCCGTGGCAACAACCATCCATCAACACCAGCAGATACAGAAGGAATTCCTGAATCTCTCTGTAGAGCATGGGCATAACAAGCCTGTCTCTAAAAACATTACTGTTACTTGTTATCCTCGCTTTGCTTCCAACCGATTCACTATGACCAGCGAACCAATAATACCAGTATAGTATAACATTTTACTCCCTCTTTCTTCAATCCACACCGTGCTTGGTGCATACTTTGGATAAAATGCAAATACAATGTAGTCAATTTGTTAAAAAAAGGAACATGTTTCATGATTTGAAAAGCAAGACACCTGATTTCTACCTTCTGTCAACAAATCATTTCTGCACTATTGACAGTTAAGACAACTGTATTCACTGCCCATTTGTCAATTCTGTTCATAAGCTTATATCAACAACATTAGTTCTCATACCAGACCATTTCCTGGTTTATTGTTTCAATTTAAAGAATCTTCCTTGTGGAAGACAGCCAAATAGAAGAGGGCAGACAGAGTGAAAGAGAGACAGTCTTTGGAAGTATGTGTTGGTATTAATTCACTGTCTTTATGCAGAGAGAGTAACACATTCACAATCTTTAAGTTTGGTAAATTTTTTTTTTTTGGCAAATTCAGTTTCCTTGTGAAAACCCAGAGGAACAAGACAATCAGATTACTCATGTTTACCTTGGAATAGCGAGCTGCGTGCATGGTTTACATGGAAATGAATGGAGGGAGTGGCACAATGACAGAATGTTTTCTTTCCCTTTATTTCAGAGTTCCTTCAAACTGTCAGAGAGATTTCTACTTGTTAGCGTTTGACCCTGATGGAGACGAGGTTAAATGCAGACAGAGTGTACCCCCTGCACACCACCATCTGCTCTCAACCTCTCACCAGTGAGTAGCCAAAATAACTCTTATTTAAATTAATATTGTGCTTCATAACAATAGGGGCAGATAGTTGGATGCTTGAAGATGGCACCATAATAATCCAGTTATGAACTGTTGTGTTTTCTACATAAGATGTGTTTCAGTCTTAACATGAAAATTTAATCAGCAGCCCATTTAACTGACCACAACATTTGACCAGGGTGGACAAAACTACCAAAGAAAACCTTATCACAACGTTGATTGTAGGAAATTAGCCTAAATTGTATTGCTAATTAAATTTGCTGTTTTGCATTACATTAACTGACAGAAACAGTTGATCTCATGTCCCCTTTTGTTGTCTTCCAGTCTTGTACTTTGTCATTCAGCCCCACCAGTAGCAGTAATGAAGGTGCATACGCCGTACAGTTGGTGATGGAGGACTTTCCCAGGCAGGATATCATCCTGACTCAGACCGATGGTTCGCAGGTGGCGAGATCTACCAACGACGCTATCAGCAAAATACCTGTACAGTTTGCTTTAAGGGGTAAGAGTTCTTGTTTTGGAAACATGGACTTGAGTAGATGATATTCTGTGAGTGAAAACAATTGGTTTTGGGAGTTTATGTTAACAATATACATGTATATATATAACTGACATGGAATCATCATCATCAGTTGGCGGAAGACTTAAGGGATCACCACAGTGATGATAAATCATTGTCTGGGAACCAAGAATGTCTGTACCAAAGTTTGTTCCAATCTGTACAGTACTTAGAAGACGTCAGTCGACCACTGAAGACATTCTCTGGGTGTCATCAATGTAATTTTTTTGGAAATCCAAAAGTTGCTGAGATATTCTAGTCTGGACCAAATTGGTACAGACTGATGGACAGACGGACCGACCAGCATTGCCACCCTTAGGAAACCTCAACGTAGCACAGATGTTGTTTTATCTTATTGTTCTAGTTGACCCTGCGGTGACATCCTGCACTGAGGGACTTTATCTGCCCAAGTTTCTGCCTCCAACTCCAGCCAACAGAGCTCGGCTGTACACTCCTGCCAATCAGACCCTGGAAATCAGCATCAAGGCAGAGGCAAATATCTCCACGTAAGTCAAAAGAACTTTAATGTTAATGATGCCCTGGTGGAACTGGTTAGATAAAAAATATTTTGCTCCACATTAAGTCAGAAGTCACATACAGAAATGGTTTGAAGTGCACAGTTAACTTGTCTAACACTGATCAGAAAACCAGATTTGACAGGAATGCAACGCATGTAACAGAACTGTGTAGTGCTGTAGGGATATACACAAACAGGATGTTAAATATGGACAGCAGTATGCATTCAAAGCCAAAAGAAAACATTTCCAATAGTATACATTGTGTGTAAGGACCTGTTGACTTTGCACTGCCTTGGTTTAACAATAAGTTTCACAAGCTTAGAGCTTTAAAAGATAATATGCAACAACAAAACAATAGAATCAGCAACATGTCTGACTCACAAAAACTCAACCAGTTCTACAGCCACTGTTATGAAGGAAACAACATTAAAAAAAAAAAGGTGATAATTCCAATAATGCCGTCACGGAAATCAGTTTTACGCCATTTGTGGGTGGGGAAGGTTTTGGAAATTCTTATCTAACAACTGACTTCTTCTTCTGTTTGTACAGAAGTTACTGAAGCTTGCTGTTCAGCGCTGGTATCAAACAAACCAGATGTAATTCAGGAGTAGGACAGTACATTCTGAGATGGACGCCGTCTGAAAACGAAGATGGAGAAAGCCACCCCTTCTGCTTTGTCATCCAGGCAAATATCAGGTAAGTCACTTCCCCCTAAACGTGTTCCTGTTTGACGACAGGAAATAAAGTACGAGGTGTGTCTGAGGTTTGGCTCCTGCTACCCAGGGGCTTAGTCAGCTAACATTAGCTGCATGAGCTAACTAGCCAACAGCATCTAACATTGTTGGCAACAAAGCTTCTTTTAAAACTCTTAAAACTCTGTAAATCACTTCAGTACCGTTGTTGTCAAACTGCCCTGTCTGTTTTGGGGGTTTTGTTCAATGAGTTAAATTAACATTTTTTCCCTTTAAAATGAAAGAGACTATTATATTAGTGACATAATTTTTTTGCAAATAAAACAACTGTACCGATCTATTTTCACAGTACAACCAAGTATCACTTGGAGCTACGGTGTGTGGTTGTGAGTGTTGGAAACTGTAAGTTGAACCATTCTTTATTTTTGATTATTGATTTCCTGGATTGGTAAAGTTGACTTGTCTTCTATCTTTTATATTCACTTCTGTTTACAGCCCCAACAATAACTACAACCATTGATCCAACAACAACACCAGTAGCCACAACCGTCATCACCACAACAACCACCACACAGCCTACAACTACACAAACCACCGTTCCTTCAACAACTACCCCATTAACTGCAACCAGCATGTCACCAACTACCACAATCACACAGAGCACAAGCACCATTCCTTCAACAAATACTGCACTGACTACAACCAGCACTACATCAAGGACAACAACAGCACCAGCTACAACCACTACTCCACCCACAACAACTGCACCACCAACTACAACAACTACTGTACCAACTACCACACAGGCTACAACGATACAAACCACCATTCCCTCAACGACTATCCCACTAACTACAATTACAACTACAACAACTATAACAACAATACCAACTACAACCACTACTCCTTCAACAACTGCACCACCAACTACAACAACTACTGTACCAACTGTCACCACACAGGCTACAACGATACAAACCACCATTCCCTCAACAACTACCCAGTTAACTACAACCAGCACTACACCAACTACAACTACTACACTACACACAACCACTACTCCACCCACAACAACTACACCACAAATTACAACAACTACTGCACCAACTACCACCACACAGGCTACAACCACACAACCCACAGTTCCTTTAATAATTACCCCACTACCTACACCTAGCACTACACAAACTACTACAACCACACAGAGCACAAGCACCGTTCCCTCGACAACTACCCCAGTAAGTACGACCCTCACTGCACCAACTACAACACCCACAGCAACTACAACCACTACTATAACCACAACAACTACACCACTAACTACCACAGCTAATGCACCAACTACCACCACAGAGGCTACAACCACACAAACCACAATTCCCTCAACGACTATCCTACTAACTACAACCAGCATTACAACAACTACAACAACGGCGCCAGCTACAACCACTACTCCTTCCACAACAACATCCCCACTAACTACCACTAAACAGGCTACAACCATGCAAACCGCTGGCACACCCACACAAAAGACAACTGCTCCTTCTACAACCACTACACCAACTACAACAGCAAGTCTACCACCTGGTCCTACACCTAACCACACAACACCTGTAACCGAAGCCTCGAACCAAAGTGAGTATGACAAATGGGGATGCTTTGCAGTATGTTATGTCTTATGAATAAATACATATACATAACTACAAGTAGCAAGTGAAGGACATAAGAACAATAGCACTTGATCTTGCCTATGAGACTCATTATTATTCAGTTGGACCACATTGTAATGTTGAATCACTGTGTTTCTAGTTGTTGCAGCTCTGAAAATAAGGATTACCTCTACGTCTCCCCTGTCTGAGGACGACATCAGGAACACTGTTATACAACAGGTCAGTTTCTTTTTAAGTAAATGAGAAATCCTTTAAAGCATCAGATAATTCCTTCTGCTGGGACGAGTTGCAGCTTTAATTATATGTTAGTGGCTCTGTCTGAATATGTAATAAATACATGAAGGCTAGGTGCCAACATATGGTAATAGTCAGGACTCAGTAGATAGGACTCATAGATACTATAGGACCTATAAGTGTAGACAGACAAAAATCATTGTCAAAATAACAATAGGTGCATTTCCATCCACCTGTGTTCATGTTTTTGTTTAGTTTTTAATTTTATTGGAAGATTAAAAAAAAAACTAAGTGGAAAAAACAACAACCTTTTAATGTTTACATTTATAGAACAAATAAGTATGAGTGTGATTCTGAATCTGATTTTTAACATTAAAGGACCTGTGTTAACATGAATTAAAGGTGAAATCTAATTGTATTTCTGTTCATTGTGCCAGATACCACAGCACCATTCCATTTCTGCCAATAGAGCCTCCTAAATGTTACACGCTGGACCTTTAAAGGAGACATTTTAAATGTATTTCTTGAAGTGATCTGGCTCAGCACCACTGTGTGTTTTCTCCTTCAGATTAAAGCTGAACTGGTACGACGAGGGCTGCCATCAAACATCACTCTACGCCTTGTGAGTTATATGCAATTGCAAAGTACAACCACAGCACCCCCTGTTGTTTCAACATGAACATTTATTGACTCCTGGAAGGAACATTTGTTTTCAGTTGCCTGCCAAAGTTAAAACTACAAGGTCAGCTGCTTTAACGTGACCATAGTTGTATGACTATCTGATGAAAAAATCCAAATCTGATGATTATTTTGCAGATTTGCACTGTGTGACCAGAATGTGGTTGTAATTATCACTTGACTGTATGAATGTAAAAACAGGGTCCTGTTAAAATCTATATATATAATATATAAATATATTTTTGCTTATATTTTATATGCAATGTGTACTTGATATTTGTCTATTTATATTAAAGCCAACTGAAAACAACAAATGATTGGCAGAATTAAGTTTATGTGACTTAAACATGTCAACAGCCAACTTAACTAAGATTAGCATCTCAACGAAAACTACAAAAATGAGTCCCAAAAAGTGACTTTATCCATACACTATTACAACATTATCACAGTTTTTCTCATTTGCTTGAATACGTGTCGATTCAGAAGTTACATTTTCACAATGGTCTAACACTCACAAAACATTAAAAACAAAAAGACAAAAGCAAATATTTCCATCAAACAACACAATTAATGGTCAAATTAATGCATTCCTTTAATCAAGCATTACACCAGAGGTTCCCAAGAGGGTCAGCAAGTAAGCAAGCATATCACACATCAAAATTGATTAATTATCAAAATAATAAATAATATCTTTGATTAATATTAAAGTTCCACCCTTAAAGAAGGAAAATGATAACCAATAATGGATTGATTCAGTCTCATTACACTTAGCTATACATTTGGAAATGAGATTAATAATAAATAACTATAACCAAAATCACCATATCAAGTGGAAGGATGTGGAATTCTGCATAGAAGAGGCTGGTATCACCCACTGTTATGCAAACTGAATAGGCCAGCATGTATAAACACAAGCATTTATTAAACGATAACCAAGTAGGCAAAATTAGATGAAACAATACAATATGAAATTAAACTGGAAAATGAACTGAAGCTTAAATGGTTTGTGTGGTGTGGTGTGTGTGTGTGTGTGTGTGGTGTGTGTGTGGTGTGTGTGTGTAACACATGAACTATCTCAATGGGCTATCCTTTTTAATGAAATTCTTGCAGTTGTCAGTGATTAAATTGTACAAATTCTGTTGAAGAACAGGAAAAGGGTGCCAATGCTAAGGAGCTGGTGACACATCAAACACATGTACAGACTAAACCACCTGTCTGATTACAGCCTTAGTGACTTATTGTTCATCAGTTGCTTCACTTAAGATCTCTGTAAGGAACTGGTCCTTCTACTTGAACCAGGTATGACTCAAGCCTCGATGAGTCTAAAGAAAAGATGTCTATGTCTGGAGGAGCCCTGCGGTTCCTTTGTTTCAACAGTGGTTTAAACACTGTGATGTCAATTTAAGTCACGTATTTATGGCGATTTTGGAGCCTACAGACTAAAAGTGGTCCTACAATGAGAGCTATGACAGTATCATTATATCATCTGGAATTATTTTATATCTGTATTTGCACTGTATCTCTCCATCACATTTTATGCTGCTCATGTATATAATTTGTTTCTTTTGTATACAAGAACAAACCTCCCAAAAAATCTAAATTGTTCTAAGGCAGTTGGAAAATAGCCAAACTAATATCAGTAATTTATTGATTATCGGTTGATTGATTAAAAAAATAAAAATAATCAGTATTATCAACCAGCAGAAATTGCTATAGCTCAGTATAAAGTCTGCAAATATACATACCACTTAGATACTTTTCTTGTGTAATATCTACTTGCTTAAGATCATAATGAATAAAATAAGAGAGGCAGCATCTTAAGAGTGTGTGGTTATAGAAAATAGTTTGACAGACGTCGTCTCCTGTTTACAGGCTGTACCACTTTTGTGTGTGTGCTGTTATTTCATCTATTTTCAACCCCATGTCATGTCAATAAGTGAAAAATGTACAAAACCCTTTCTTTAAAAAATTTGTACAACTGTAACATTTGTTTTGGTTAATCAATATTTCAAGCATTTTCCTCATACCAGGTCACTTCCTGGTTTATTCTCCTGACAGACAGATAAAGAGTCTGTGTGTCACTGTTTGTATTAGTTACTGTGTAGAGAGGCTGCAGTATGTCGCTCTGTGTGCCGCTGCTGTTGATGCTGCTTTCATGCAGCTCCCAGGCGACTCATTTCTTTGGGACAGTGATGACCTATTACCCAAAAGCGACCAGCACCAGTGGATCTGTCACGGTATGTATTTATTTCTAAACAATTTAGCTTTCAGAAATGATTGAATAACAATTTGACAGAGGAGATTTAAAATACTTAAGTACCAATTTTAAAAGCATATATTTCCTTATTTTATTTTTTTTCTGGCATTAAAATAAAATTTAACCCCTATTTCACATCTACCTACAATGTGAAGTCAGCATCTGCTCACCTACCTTCTTTGTATTGTGGATGTTTAATCAATGCAGGTGGTCCTTCGCTATAAGCTGAACTTCCACTCATGTACTGATGTGGACACGTGGGACTGCTTGAATGGGAACTGTGGGAGCCAGAGTTCTTTAGTGCTGAATAAAGTCTACAGTGAGAGCAGTGGAGAGTGGTGCCAGAGAGAAGGAATCATGACTCAACAGGTTCCCAGCAACACCCTGTTTCACCTTTGGTAAGTGCACCATATGTCTTATGTCAGTTTGGGCATTTTTTGAATGCAAGGGTGGCATCAAGTATATATTTAAAGTATGTCTACTTTAATTACTAACCTATTACCAACACAGCAGAGTGGTACCACATAGGGCTGCACGATATGGTAAAAACATACTGCGATTATTTTGACAGATATTGCGAGATGACTCACAATTAGTGAATTATAATTTTTGCATAACATAAACATATAACATGTTTTCTTACATCTGGAGAACAAGATTTCATAGGCCAGGACGGTCTCTTTAGAACTACAGTACATCATTATACTCGCCTGTTTTTTTTTTTTTTTGCACATTTTACTTTTATCAAAAAACTGCAGTTTCTGCGATTTGCATATTGCACTTGACCACATTGCGATTCCGATAATACAGCCCAACAAATATAATATAAAGCAGCCATACTGGATTCTTTAAGTCCTTAAAGTTGTACTTCATCCAATTCCAATACTCTTTGTGGAACCCAGTATGCAGAAATATTTAAAAACACACATGCAAGATACTGAATGGTTTTTGCCAAGAGGTATAAAAAAATACAGTACAAGATAAACAATATAAACAATAAACTCTTAGATATATATAGAAAGTAGAGATAAGATAAATTGAAAGAAAAGATAATGAAATCAAGATTAAGTGGGAAGGACTGTATAGAGCATGGGAAATATATTATGCGCATTGTGTTGTTATACAGTGGGATAAATGGCATTGTGTTTGTTAAACAGCTGGATCAGTGCATTAGGTAGAATTAAGCAGTAATTATATGAGCCACCCAATTATTCTTATAGCATATTGATGACATTATTATGTGGGGTGGGCCTGGCATATTGTCAACATGCTCCAGCAGTATTTGTCAGTGTCTCCCTCATCTGCACGGTCACCCCCGTGAGTCAGCTTTCATGCATGCCACAGAACCAGCCCGCCTGATGATCAGTTTATCCAGTCTGGAGGTGTCCTTCTTGGATATGCTGCCCCCCCAGCACACCACAGTGTAGAAGAGGACACTGGTAACCACAGACTGATAAAACATCCACAGTAGCTGTGGCCTGTCAGTGAGGTAGTCTTTGATCCAGACTATTAACTATACTATTAAAAACTTTTTGAAACAATATTGCGTACTCACAAAATGAACAAAAGTAAGATAAATATACACAGGCAATGTCTTAAGTATAAAACTGGGATGTCTATATGACTGTAAATCAACTGCTTTCACAAAGTGTTGTGTTTGTATTGTAATATATATTTTGAATGTCTTAAGTGTCACCACAGACAAATATTATAATACAGAGATGAATAAAAACAAAAGCTTGAGATACAGTCTCTACTATTGCATTTACCCATTAAATTTTATTTTATTTTATTTATTTCTTTTAGATTTTATTCATTTTTATAAAAGATACAAATTAAAATATTACATACAAAAGCAGAATAAAATGTGATGGAGAGATACAGCGCATATAAAAAAATTAGGGGAGCCTTCTATAAGCTCCCAAATTGACATGAATACATGACTTAAATTTACATCACGGTGTTCAAACCAAAATTGAAACAAAGGATCCGCAGAGCTCCATTATCAGACATAACATCCTTTATTTAGACTCATCAAGGCTTGAATCATACCTGGTTCAAGTAGACGGACCAGTTCCTTACAGAGATCTCAAGTGAAGCAACTGATGAACAAGAACTGTCACTAAGGCTGTAATCAGACTGTTGGTTTAGTCTGTACATGCGTTTGATGTGTCACTCTTTCAGCAGTGGCTCCCTCTGCCTGTTCTCAACAGATTGTATAACTTTTAATCACTGACAATGACGATGTACTGCAAGGATAGCCCATTGAGAGGTAGCACCTCATTTTATTTTTGAGACAAGAATACAGTTCATGCTGTGATATGCTCTCTTAAATTTGGCACATATACTATAATTATGTAAATGACACAGGCATAAAGTACAAATTAAGGTTGAACAAGTTCATATTGATAGCTGTATTTTGTATTTTTTTCATATATTGTGTAATGCAGCAGTTCCCAACCTTGACATCTTTAAGTGACATAAACTTAATTCTGTTAGCAATAATTTTAATTATAATTAAAGTACACATAGCATATAAAATAAAAGGCAGCAAAGCATTTTAGGTAGTAATTTCAGGTAGTGATCATCACAAACACATTCTACACACAGTGCAAATCTGCATCACCACATTTGGAAAGGACCTGTATAGTCATATAATAATGGTCACGTTAAAGCAGCTGACCTTGTAGTTTTAACTTTGGCAATTAATGGAAGATGGAAAATAAATGTTCCTTCCAGGGGTCAATAAATGATGATCACGTTGAAACAACAGGCGGCGCTGTGGTTGTAGGTTGCAGTTGCACACTACTCACAAGCCGTAGAGTGATGTTTGATAGCAGCCCTCGTCTCACCAGTTCATCTTTAATCTGGAGGAGGGAACACACAGTGGTGCTGAGCCAGATCACTTCAAGAAATACATTTCAAATGTCTCCTTTAAAGGTCCAGCGTGTAACATTTAGGTGGCTCTTTTGGCATGGAATGGTGCTGTGGTATCTGGCATGAACACGTTAGCAGCAGATCCTTTAAGTCCTGTAAATTGTGAGGTGGGGCCTCCATGGATTGGACTTGTTTGTCCAGCACATCCTACAGATGGATTGAGATCTGGGGAATTTGGAGGCCTAGTCAAACCATTCCTGAACCATTTTTAATTTGTGGCATTATCCTGCTGAAAGATGGCCACTGCCATCAGGGAATAACTTTTCCATTAAAGAATGCTTTCACCGCTTATCCTTCCTTGGACCACTTGTAATAGGTACTGACCACTGTAGACCGGGAACACCCCACAAGCAACTGCAGTTCTGGCCATCTAGCCATTACAATTTGGCCCCTTGTCAAAGTCACTCAAATCCTCACGCTGCCCATTTTTCCTGCTTCTAACACATCAACTTTGATGGCAAAAGGGTGACTTGATGCCTAATATATATCATCCACTGACAGGTGCCATGATAATCAGATAATCAGTGTTATTCACTTCACCTGTCAGTGGTCATAATGTTGGTCATGGCTGATTGGTGTATAATTAAAGCTGCAACTCATCTCAGCAGGTCCAGTTATCTAATGTTTTGACAGGATTTCTCATTACTTAAGAAGAGACGTACCTGTTGTAGGCCAGTATTCCTGATGTGGTCCTCAGACAGGGGAGACGTAGAGGTAATCCTTATTTTCAGAGCTGCAACAACTAGAAGTACAATGACTCAACATTACAATGCAGGTCAGAAGGTTGGTCAAACTGAGTAATAATGCAGAGTCTCATAGGCAAGATCAAGTGCCATTGTTCTTAAAACTTTGACTAGTAGCCCTGTATATGTATCTATTCATGAGACATGATAACATACTGCAACTCACTTTGGTTCGAGGCTTCGGTTACAGGTGTTGTTTGGTCAGGTGTAGTACCAGGTGGGTGACTTGCTGCTGTAGTTGGTGTAGTTGGTGTAGAAGAAACATTAGTGGTTTCATTCATTGTGGTTGTACCTAGTGGGGTAGTTGTTGAGGGAACGGTGGTTTGTGTGGTGGTAGTTGGTGGTGTAGTTGTTGTAATTTGTGGTGTAGGGCCCGTACAACACAAACCAGATTAATTCAGTAGTAGGACAGTACATTCCTGGAGATGGACGCCGTTGAAAACGAAGATGGAGAAAGCCATCCCATTCTGCTTTGTCATCCAAGGCAGATTTTTAGTGTCAGTAACTTCCCCTAAACGTGTCACACTGTTTGATGACAGGAAGTAAAGTTACTGAGTTTGTCCATCCTGGACTTAAAAATGAACATTTCTATCTTTGAAATGTCTAAAAAAATGATTTGTGACATAATTTTTTTGCACATAAAACAACTTGTACTAATTATTGTGCAGTAGTAACCAAGTATCACTCGGATGCTACGAGTGTGATTGTGATGTTGGAAAACGCGTGAGTGAACCATTGTGTTTATTTTTGTGTTTCTTAAATGTACATTGCTGATTTGCCTGATGGGTAAAGTTGTACGTTGTCTCTATTCTTTTATATTCACTTCTGTTTACAGCTCCAACAACAACTACAACCATTGATCCAACTACAACAACCACACAAAAGTACAACCACCATCCCCAACAAGCTGACCCCACTACCTACAACACGTACCCATCCACCACAACCACTACACCCACAAATTACAACAACTACTGCACCAACTACAAACCACTACCCCAATTTCACAAAACAACACACCACGAAATTACAACAATACTGCACCAACTACAACCCAGCTACCCCATCACACCACTAACACCACAATTACAACAATCTACACCACCAACTTGACCACACACAAACCACCGTTCTCTCAACAACTACCCACTAGGTAACAACCACTACCCCATCCAACAACAAAA